ATTGCGTTATTCAAGAAAAGGGACTCTACCCTAATCTATAATTTAACACAACCAAAGGGACTCAAGAAGTTTCGTTGTAGTCTCGGACGACCAAAACCAACATACTTACTTGAGAAATAAACAAGTTTTGAAAATTTCTGAAAAATTTTTGTCTTCTAAAATTTCTAAAATTTTATGAATAGTTTTTGAAAAAGTTCGAAACAAGATAAACAAGATCATTTAGGTAAATAAACAAAATCATTTTGTATTACATATTTAGTCTATTAAACGGAATATTACGTTTTTCGTGATATTTTGTGTAATAAAAATTTCGAAAATTTACAAAAAGCTTTTTGTAATATTCCATAAAAATTAACGAAATCTTTTGATATAAAAAAATTCGAAAATTTCTGCAAAAATTTTCGTAAAATTTTACATCAAAAAATTTTGAAGATTTACGAAAATTTACGGAAATTTATACAAAAATTTATGGAAATTTTACATCCTGAAAACTTACGGAGTTATCCACCCTTAAAAATTTCCTAATGTAAATAAAATAAAATATTTACTTTAATAAATGTTAAATTATACATATCATCACTTTCTTTTATTATTTTACTTCTCTCCATCATTTTTTGGATGTCTGAAACTTCCTTGTCAATTTTTTTTAAATAATCTAATACGTGATCTTGCTTTCTTTTTCTTGTTGATAGAGGTTCTTCTCCTAATAAAATAAATTATATATTGAAAAATATTTTTATTAAAATTTTTTGAAATTTTTTGAAAATTATCATTGGAAGGTTGTTTTTCCCTTCCTTTTTTAGTCCTTCTTCTTTTAGTTACACTAGTTAGTGGTAATTCCTGTGATTCTTCATCAAATGGTCCTATTAATACATCCTCTATTTCACTTTCTCCCCTTTCTCTTATTAATGATGTTGATGCTTTTACTACTGCTGAAGTAGATGCTGTTGCCGAAGTAGATGCTGTTGTCAATATCTCACTCCTTTTTTTTGCTCTTCCAGATAAAAGATCAGAAATTCTTCCTTTATTTTTTTTTTATTTTTTTTTTGATAAAAGCTAATTAAAGTTTTTTGTGACATTTTGAAAATTTTTAATAAGAATTTATTTTAATATTTATTTATTTACA